TAGTCTCTCTGGCACAAAGGCGCTCTGATTTGATACAATCACCTCATTTAATACACCCTTGAGCCTGTTTGCTAGTACCTTATAGAGTTTCTTGTAGAGTAATTTGCACAAGCTAATAGGGGAAACTCCACTAGGGTCTTAGAGTTCTTTTCTTTGGGATTAAAGCAATTAGGGTGTGATTAAGCTCTCGAGGGAAACTGCCTACCTCCAAATATCCCTGTAACTCCGTTATTACTGCATCCCCCACTATTTCCCAGTTCTTTTGAAAGAACAAGGCAGGCATACCATCATCTCCCGGAGCTTTTAGTGGCCCATAACCTTCAAAGCTCCCCAATTTCATCCCTAGTGAAGATTTTAAGCAATTCTTCATTCATAGCTACTGTGACTTTCAGTGGTACAACTTCAATTACAGTGTAAGAGCCTGCTCTGGCCCCAGAGGTGTAAATTTTTTGCAAAACTGTACAAGACAGTCTAAAACCTCTTGTTGTCCCTGGAAAATTCTCCCATCCTCATGTCTTAGCTTTCTGATCATGTTCTTGGCTTTTCTGTCCGAAGCTCATCTATAGAAGAAGAAAGTATTTTATCCCATGTTGTAACCACTCCGTTCTAGATCTTTGCTTCCATATCAACTCTTCCTACAATAATATGTCTTCCAGCTCACTATCTAGGGCCCTTCTTTGCTCCAGAATTGCTTCCGTTTTGTGCATTTTCTCAATCTTTTCTAAAGCCCTTTATGCTTTTATTCTTCGTGATTTGAGACTTCCAAAAGTTTATTTGCTCCAATTTTTCAACTTTTATTCACAAGCTCTAATTCTCCCCATCACTGAGCCAACTCCATTCTCTTCCCATCCCTCCTTTATGACTTGTTTGTGATCCTCATGGTCTTGGCAATATGCTTCAAATCTGAAGTACTAGTCCCATTTGATAGCCTCCACTAGGACATTTTTTTAATAGGATATGGTTGTGGTCAAAACCTCGTCGCCTTAAATGATAGACACCTGCTTCAGGGTAGAGTTTTCTCCAGGCTTCTGTGGATACCATCCTGTCTAAGTGCTCTTCCAAATATGTCTCATCTTTGTGGTTATTATCCCAAGTTAAAGGTTTCTCATAGAAACCTAAGTCATCCAACATAAAATCCTCCAGGACTCTATTAAAGCCCTCCATATCATACCCACTGGCTGGTTGTCTTACATTCTTTTCAGCATAATGTTGTATCAAATTGAAATCACCCCAACAAACCCATGGTGTGTATGTTAGATCTTTCAAATATCTGAGCAGGTCCCACATCAAGTGTTTTTTCTCCTACTCAGGCCAACCATAAACTCTAGTTAGGCTCCAAAGCTTTCCATCATCTTCAATACTCATGTCAATATAGTTTGTTGAGTATCCTTTCACTTCCAAACAAACATCTTCCTGCCATAGGACCATCAGTCCTCCAGCTCTTCTTACAAACACAAGCCAAAACCCTTATACCCCTGAAACTTGGTCACTACCTCCTCCCACTCTTTCTCTTGCTTTTTTGTTTCCAATATGAACACCATCCTGAGGTTTTGCCTTTGGATCAATTGACCCAACTTCTTAATTGCCGGGGGACTCGCCAAACCCTAACAATTATAACTTAGATAACTCATTGGGCTAAGAGGACCTGCTCTTTAGCAGGCTCCGCCACTTCACCATCCAATTCAGTTTTTTTTAGTTTTATCACCATACCCTCCACTCCATTGAAATTTAGCATTCTTGTTTTTTTTTTTTAATAAGGGTGAATAAATTCAATTAGAAAGAAACAAGAAGATACAAAAGAAGGTACACATCAGATCGCCAGGAGTGATCCAACGTGGGTCAAGAGAAGAGGAAAGAAGATCCAGGAACAAACAAAAACCCAAAAAAGGAGACAACAGATACGGCAAAACAAGAAACAAAGGCAGCAAAATCTCTTTCAGAGCACGCCCAATCAATCGCCAGCATCCGATTCTCGAAACATGAGGCAGGCTTGGTTGATCATTTGCAGCCAAATACTGCCATTCTGAGAACTAACAACACCATGCGCGGAGCTCCAATTCAGAAGAGTGTTCCCGATCCTGTAAACGATTGCTCTCCACGTCTTCACTTCATCCCTAAACGTTCTAGCATTCCTTTCTTTCCAAATTTCCCAACAAAATGCATGAAGTAATCTGACGTGGAACCACTCTTTCCATGAACAATGATTCTTGGTTGGCCATCCTTTAATCAGGGAGTCAATGGTACAGGGAAGAGGTCCCATGAAACCCATGACCGATTGAAAACATTCCTGGATTCGCTTACTCCACTTACATCTGCAGAAAATATGGTCCACGGTTTCCTCATCGCTGCCACATAACACGCATTTGCTGGCGAGATTCCACCCCCTTTTCTTCAAGTTATCATGAGTTAGAATCCTTTTGTGCATAACCACCCAAAGAAAAGTAGACACCTTCGAGGGAACTTGCGTGCTCCAAATAACATCGGAAGGAAAGTCTCTGTCACCCGGGAACTTGCTTGAGATGATGCAATTGTACAAAGACTTAACCGAGAAATTAGAATCAGAAGAAGGTCGCCACATGATTTTGCAAGGTCCTGCAGAAATCAAATCAGTAGAAACAGAAGATAAAGTCTGCAGTAAACTCACTCTCTCCCTTTCCGTCCCACCCCGCAATGAAAAACGTAAAGGAACATCCCAAGAGATTCCCTCAGAAGAAAAGGATATACACTCAGAAACCCAAGCCTCCGGGGAAAAGGCAGCAGCAGCAACCCTTGGATAGGCATCTTCAAGAATCACCTCAGGCAGCCAACAATCCTTCCAAAATGAAACCCAAGTGCCACCACCAGAATTAATAAACACGTGTTTCCAGAACCCAGGCTCTTCTTTCAAAATGTTCTTCCACAAGGAACAACCCAAATTGCTCCTTCCTTTACCAGATCTCCATATGGTCATGTGGTTAGGGTACTTAATTTTGTTATGTTTCCTCTACTTCCCCTTCCTTCAGATTGGTTGCCATTCACTCTGTGGAGTGATTTGGATCCCTACTGCAGGTCTATTGCGAACTTTTTCCTGCCTTCTCCAAACTTGAGCAATGCTTTTGCCTACTTGTTTGCCTTCCACACTCTCCATAACAAACTTTTGCAGCGCCCCTATTTGCACTGTCATTGCCTTTTGTGGAAAGCTCCCGGGGCATTTATGTTGATGTTGAGATTCTGGATGGCCTTGTGGTATTCTCGTTTTTACTTTCTCTTCTCCATATCCCTATTACCTGCTTCTCCTTTATTTTCTTCGATATGGTTTGGGCCTCTTCCTCCCTCGTCTTAGTTTCCTCTTGTTCCATAGCCATATCATGGTCCGAATTTGAGCCAACGCTTTCCATCTCAAACTTCTATCTTAGGTCATCCCAAACTTATATATCCTCCTTATTTGCGGTGTAGTAGAGTCATTTCTTTTTCCTGGAGCTGCCACCCTGAGGCCTGAGTTCATAGCCAAAAGGATCAACATCTGGCTTCGGTTCCATCTTGCATTTGAGTTTAGGGTGGCCAATTCTCCTACACGTGTAGCAGAACATAGGTAGTTTTTCATATTTTATAGGGTATTCAACTAGCTTCCCCAATATGTTTAGAATGCATCATTATTTAATATTTTAGCAGACACAATACATGGATTGTTTTTGTAATGTGGCAAAATCTATCACCCAAAATGACTGATGGTTATATCTCAGCTTTTAATTGGGATTGTTGAGTTGAGACTGTTTTATCGAAACTTTTAACTAATATAATATACACAATCACACATACCAAATATTATATTTTACAATGTATCAAATTTGACAATACATATATAATATTATACATATATTCACAACAATACAATCATTTAAAAATCACAGCTTTCAAACCAACCCAAATTCAACCAACAATCACAACAAAACAATACTTGACTAGCTAGTAGCAAAGTGCGCCAGTGCGGTCACCGCACAGTTGATTATATAAAAGAAACCCCGTCACAAATTACATCACAACTTGAAACAAAAGAACAAGTGCGCGGTATGGGCAATTTGATCGTGATGATATGAATAATTGTGCAACAATTTGCTTTTGATGATATAAATAATTGTACAACTATTAACCAATAATTTACTGCTGATGTGAACGATGCAATTAATTCTTAAAGACTTCGATTCATTAATAAATACCATAAATATGCTAATGTGAACAATACAATTATTCATTAATAAATACCACAAATAAGCAATATTGTAGCTAGTCATTGTTTAATCATTAACGGTGACTTCGACACCTAACACAACGAACTAATTGCTAAAAAAAGACTTAGGCTAACATTCCCATCATCATCATGATCCTAGCAGCTTATATTATGTGACCATTACTCCAGGACAATTAAGTTGGGTTTGGTTGTATGGTTAAACCGGAAAATAAATCACTATTTATAAAATAAATTGCATATAAATGACCCGATTTTAGAAGTGTTATTATGTTTCAAAAGTTGAAGTAGGATCAAATACCTCCAAAAACACAACTTTTGAAAAGTCAAAAAATGTTTTTGCATAACATAAATATAGAAGCTCTAATTTAGAATTTCTGCAAAATGTTGTTTTGAAATACATTATTAACCTTATCAACCTGGTAAGCTTATTGCAATTGAAATCCAAAGTTGCGTTAAGATGAATCGAATAAATCAAATAACAAAATCAGGAGCAAATACAAGTGCTAAGTGACAAACTAATACAATTAAGCCTGCAAATAAACAACTCAATTAGGCTCCAAGCAAATGAAATGTTTTTAATGGTTAGAGCAATAAGCTGACCATGAAAGCATTTATATAGAGATATGACACACACAAACGTTACATATATATAGCATCAGCCCATCTCGAGTTTGAGATATATCAAATCCAATCCCTCTCTCCCGCTCTCTATCTCCTCCAAACCCCTCAAAACCTAATTACTCACCCGCGAAGAAAATATCAGCCAGCCATCATGGTTCTCTTTGATTTCAAGTCAAACAACCATTTTGTTACCTCCAATGACAGTACTACCCTCAGAGTCTGGGAGTTGAGAAGTTCTACTATTCATCCTTCCCATATCCGAAAGACTCACTGGAAGGAAGTTGGCAACATCATTGTCAATAGTGACGTTGATAAAGACGACAACTCGGGGGAAGAGCAATACTACGACGGCTTGTTGTTTTTTGATGGCCATGGGAAGATCGAGGCACATGATGCCCTGACCAAGCTAGCACAACACCTCGCTTGGTCGGGTCTGATGGTCAGCCCTGGAGGCTACTGCTTCCAGAACATGACTGAGTTGGGAGAGAATAAAGACTTTGGGATTCAGTACTATCTTCGATTGAACGATCTTTTTAATTGGCCTCATCATGGTGTTCACTTGGCGAGGATCAGCACCTGGCAGCGCTTGGAGTTGGAGTACATGGTGCCAAGGCAAAAGAAAATATCAAAGCTACCGATGCTGGGCGGGGTGAGTAAAGAGAAGTACGAGGAGATGAAAAGGATGTTGAACATGAAGGATGAGCAGCTGGAGAAGGTAGCTAATGAAATGGAAGAAGAAATACAAAAGTTGGGGGATGAAAAGGATGAAGAGCTACACAAACTTAGAGAAGAGATGGAAGGGGTCATTAAAAAGAAAGATGTGGAGCTACAAAAAGTGAGGAAGCAAAAAGATGAAGAGAAGAGGGTGCAACTAATGACCCGGGTGGTGAGCAAAGAGAAATATGAGGAGCTGAAAAGGATGGTGAGAGAGAAGGATGAGGAGTTATGGAAACAGAGGGAGGAGATGGAAGAAGAAATACAAAAGGTGTGTGATAAAAAAAATGGAGAACTACAAAAGCTAAAAGAGGAGATGGATGAAGTGTGTGAAAATCAGGAGGAGGAGTTACAAAAGTTGAGAAAGGAAAAGGATGAGGAGCGGCTAAAGCTATTGAAGAAAAAAGATGGTGCGCAAAAAATGCTCGAAAGTGCAAGTAATGAATTGCAAAAGCTGAGGAAGGAAAAGACCGAGGAATTGCGAAAGCTAAGAGGAGAAATGCAAGAAAAGATTGAAAAGATGAGAAAGGAAAAAGAAGAAGAAGTGGAAAATCTAGAGAAGAGGGAGGAGGAGATCTTACAGAGGTTGAGAGATAAAGATGACGGACTTGAAATTCCAATGGTGGAGAAGATCAACACACTAGAAATGTTGTGTAAAGAAAAAGATGAGGCATTTCAGAAGCTTCTCGAGAAGAAAGATGGTGGATTACAACCGCTTGGAAAAGGGAAGGAAGTTGGAGTGGCACTGGAAAAATTGCAGAAAGAGAAGAACGAGGAAATGCAAAGTCTGAGACGAGAGATGAATGAGGAGCTGGAAAGTTTAAGAAGGGAGAAGGATGCAGAGTTGAAGGCGAAAAATAATGAATCGGAGATGTTGAAAAGGATACAGGATGAGGGAACAAAGATGAACAAAGAGCATGAGGAGGAACTAACAAAATTGAGAGAGGAAGTAGAAAGTCTAAGAAGGCCTAAAGATGAAGAAGCAAGTCAAGCAATGAAAGAGCATGAAGAGATGAAAAAAGGGGTAGAAAATGAGCAAAAGGATAAAGAAAAAGCATTGCAAAGTCCGATGAATGAACATGATGTCGAGTTCGAAAAGCTAAGGAACGAGCACGAAAAAATGTTAAAAGAGTTGGAGCAACGTATCAAACAATCATGGATGCCGCTGCCAACGACACGATACGTCTTTAGTGACCCCGGCCATAAAATGAAAAGACGGGCGGTGCCACTGAATACTTGGTGTACCGAAGGTGGGTTCACCTATATTTATGACCAAAATCTCATGGGGGGCTCCTTACCCTTCCCCCGATCATGTCATCGTATTGAAGTCGTGGATGAAGAGAACCAAGATTGGCCGGCTCCGCTAAAGATTCATGTATCTTGTGGGTACAATGACTCATTAGACCAAAACAACTGGTGGTTTGTGAAGATGTTACTAGCGAATGGCAGTCTGACGATGTTGGCATATTACGACGGGAATCGAAGCTGTCTTACTGGCTATCAAGGTATCCCTACCCGAATTCCATTCCGTAGAGACACTATTGTTCACACAAACACACAATTCCTTTTGGTTCCTTTGTTTGGCGGATACACGCTTGGTTTCTTGTATCGGGACTGACTAGGTAAATCCATGCCGGTCGTTTTTTATTACTGCATTGTTGTTTGTTTGCTTTTTCTATTCCTAATCCTACCCTTTGTTATTTATTACTCACAAAACGGAACTCTACACGTTCAATAGAATCCAGTGTTGCTTCACTTTTGGTCTTTGGAGTTAAATTAATGTTTTGGGTCTGTTATTTTAATTAAAATAACGAAATATGTCATTTTGTGTTGCCACATATATCCCCTCTTACATAGTTAATTTTTTCTAAGTCAGCATATTGAATAGATCAATAGGCTCAATAAAGGAGGTGCAAAATAATTTCGGCCATTCGGGGGACTTGATGGGCACATTACCTCATACAGATTTTAATAGTTAGAACAAGAGAAAAAGAAAATACCCAAAAGGGTTAATAGTATCTTTTACCTCTTTATTATGTTTCAGTTTAAGCAGGACAATCGAAGTTATCTGTAACACTTTACGCAAATCTCACATCGACAAAGCATATGCGAGATCTATGGTTCATAAGTAAGAAACCGACCTTAACTATTAATATACGTTTTGGGATGAAATGGAGGAGTTCTTGTAAGAACTCTGAAATTAAAATGAAGGATCTAGGTCCAAAGCGGACAATATCTTGTCCGAAAAAAGTTCGGGATGTTACACTACCCTAGGAATAAAAAACCAAAACCATAATGGTTAAAACATATTTCATCTAAGGATTTCTAATATTTTAAGCCTTTAATACTCTACTTGGTTGTGTTCCATCCCCGCAGGGGCAGAGAACCCATCGATGTCTCAACTGTGCTACCGGGGGTTTTGTGGAAGTCGAAATAAGAGATCACTCATTTTGGGGCGGGCTTACTACTTAGATTCTTTCAGTAGTGTTCTGTTTCGCACCTGGCTACCCGGCTTTTACCCTGGGCACGATAGCTGTTACACTCGATGTGTCCTTTCTTCTTAAAAGTGTGTTATTTTTTTACTCTACACAAAGGTATATTCTCTAACTTCAAACAATGTATTTTATTAACACATATATTCAATCAACACACATACATTAATTCAATGAATGGCATCAATTTATGGGTCGTTCGGAAGTTGAGATTTCAATTTGTGTATTTAGCGCCGAAATTGATGTATTCAATTGAACTAATGTATTCTCATTATGTGTATTGATGTTTCTAATCATCTTCCAACTTTTCTCGCCATCTACTGTCAACCATTCGTTCCTTCCACCAAAAGCGTACCGTCAACCCTTTATTCCCTTCTTTTGTAAATCTCTATCACAATCTCGCTATATACTTGCCCAATTTCTGGCTAAGAGTTAATAGTAGCAAGAAATAAGACATAACAAGTATAAGCAAAGTCGCCGCCACTGCTTTCAGCAAAGTTTCTATTGCCGCCCTGGATAAATGTCATTTTCCCCCTGTAGATTACACAATAACTTTTCTTCCAAGTATCGAAAGTCTATGTTTTAGACCTGTGAACTAAGGTGGGTAATCTTGTTAGTAAACAATAGTATATGATTCACGATTGAACCTCTCCCAACAACTCGAGTTATTGGGATCAATTGGTTCTTGACATGGTATTAGAGGCTTCTGTGACCTCGAGGTCTTCTGTTCGATTCCCAATGACCCCATCCGTTTCTGTTAAGCACATTGTGTCCAGACCTGTGACTGTGCAAACTCCAAACCTATCTGAGTGCCTTGAGTTTGAGAGGGTGTGTTAGTAAACAGTATATGATCCACGATTGAACCTCCCTCATCTTTTCGAGTTATTGGGATCAATTGGTTCTTGACAAATCTCGATTTTTATCCTGAACATTAACTGCTCCCACACCCAAAATATGTGTCATCTGCTGACAATTGGTTTGATCCAAAATATGTGTCATCTCCTGAACATCTAAATAGACTACTGATTTTGCCAGATTAACCTTTTGTCCATTAAGAATCTTATATTCTTGGAAAATATGACGTAAATTATGGCATTCCTGCACGGATCCTCGAATGAATAAATAATAGTCATATGCAAAGAACAAGTGGGTAGATATTTTAAACCAAATAACTATATTTCTCATTATAAAATATTTACAACTTTCATTATTAAAATTTTGGCTATATTTGTCACATAGATCAATTTTTCGCTATACAAATGTATTTGAAAAATATCCAGTATTCTCAATTAGGGGACTAGATAGGGTGACAACATCCCTTGTGTTGTTATTGTAACAACACTAGTCTCCAACCAATAGGAAGCTAGGGTTGTGATGACTTTTCATTAGATGAGTTGACCTAGTGTAAAATCAAAACAGGGGTATAATTGTCATTATGAAAAATATATTTAAATAATAATAAAAAAGTTAAAAAAAATATTTTTTTATTTTCTGCCAAAATTTTTGGTCCCCGAAATCTGGCCGACGGTCACCGGAATATGCTTTTTGTCGTCTGAATATGGTATTTTGTCATCGGAATATGCCACCGTTGCCGGAATATGCTCACCGTGGTTGGAATATGCTTACCGGCGTCGGAATCTAGTCATCGGGGCCGGAATATGCCTATCGGCATCGGAATATGCTCACTGACGATCATCGGAGTTTGGTCAACGATTTTTGTTGACCGGTCAACGGCCAACGACCACCGGATGTTATGGTCTGCATTGTGAGATTTATGGTTTGGTTTCTCGTGTTTTTTTATGCCTTTTGTGGTTTGCTTTATCGTGTTTGTGGTTTGCATTGAGAAGTTACAGGTTTGCTTTCAAAAATTTTGTGGTTTGCATTGAGGGGTTTCTGGTTTATTTTAATATATTTGTGGTCTGCATTAGGACGTTTTAGGTTTGCTTTTTTGTGGTTTGATTTACTGTGTTTGTGCTTTGCATTAGGAGGTTTCTGGTGTGCTTTCGCAAATGTTGTGGTTTGCTTTTTGAGGTTTGTGGTTTGTTTTATGGGATTTGTGGTATGCATTAGGAGGTTTCTGGTGTGCTTTCGAAAATGTTGTGGTTTGCTTTGTGAGGTTTGTGGTTTGTTTTAGGAGATTTGTGGTATGCATTAGGAGGTTTCCGGTTTGCTTTATTGTGTTTCTGGTTTGCTTTAGAAATGTTTGTGGTTTGTTTTGTGTTATTTTTTGTAGCTTTAATTTTAGGAGATTTATGGTATGCATTAGAAGGTTTATGGTATGTTTCTTTTTTGTTTATTTTAATGTGTTTGTGGTTTGTATTAAAAAGTTTATGGTATACTTATGCAATATTTGTGGTTTATTTCATCTCTTTCATATTACAACTTTGGCAAACAAGAAAACAAGATTGTCTTGCGTTGCAATAGGCAAAAGCTAAAAAAACGCATAATCAATATTCACTCAAAACCCATTTTTTGACAAATGAAAAACATCAATAACACAACACCATTTCAATTTTCTACATAATCACAATGGCTCTCATGCTCACCCCTAATCCCCAAACAATAATACTCATCAAATTGCTTAACTTTCCTCTTCCGCCATTTTATTTCCCAAAATGCAAATATTCCCTTTGCCTAGTCTGCGTTGAAGCAGTAGATAGATAAGATGAACATTCCGTAGAATCGATTGGGAAAAGGGCAAACTCTCTAAAACAAACAAAGACCCTTCCATTTCCATCCCCACAAAGTCATCTCCTCCGCCATTCCTTCATTGTGGCCTCAGACCAAAGAAGATCCCAATTCTTCTTCTTCTTCTTCCCTCATCATCGCTCGCTCTAAGGGTTTTCGGATTCGGTTGTGTGCATTCTATTCATTCATCGCTCCCCAAATTCAAAAACCTCCTAATCGAATCAGGTCTAGACACCAATTTCAGAATTTCCTCGAACTCCAGCTCGTCGTAGGGGATCCGCAGCGGGCCGGCGTTGGCGAAACCAAACTCCTCCTCGGCCTGAGACAAGATGCGATTGAAGATCGGATGGTTCAGGTGCGTCGCCCGGACGACGAATCTCCGACAGCTCCCGCCGACGCAGACGGCGACGTGGCATGAACAGGAAGAGAGGAAGCGAGGAGCAGAGCAGGATGTTTACGGCTGGGATCTGGAGTTCTTACGCCAAGAGCATGGGAGCGAGTCGTGACAAAGAGTACCGCCGCAGAGCAGGATTTTGGCGATGCCACTGGACTGCACATTCCCCTCGAGGAACTCGTTAGCAGCCGACGACGGCGGTGGTCGCGGAGCGCTGGACTGAGATAGAACGGCGGCGTTGCAGAGCAGGAGAGTTAGAGTTTGGGCGACGCCGTTGGACTTCATCCGACGACGATGGTGGTCGCGATGCTCTGGACGGAGAAAGAAAGGCGAAGTTGACGAGAGATCTGGAAGAAAGAGGAAGCGAAGGGATAAAGAAGACGAGAGCAGGGTTGGGGTATTTGTTTATTTATTTTAATTTCTAATTTATTACTTTTAGTGAGTTCTCGTTTTTACCTATAGTGTTGTTACTATAACAACACTATAGGTGTTGTTACAGTATCCGCTCCCCTCAATTAGTACTATCAGATCAGCATTCTCAATTATTACAGTTAGCACTTAATAGCCCCGTTAAACTTAACAGATTCTTTGGATTAAATTACTTTTTTCATTATTAAGAAAAATCTCTACATTTGTTGCAAATGTAAAGATTTTGACAATAGAGTGTTTTTTGTCTTTTCTCCTCTTCAAGTAAATAAATGTAATTGAGTTATGTAAGTTCTAAGTAACAATGTATTTTGTATCGAAGCATATTCCTACCCGACCCACGATAGCCATTTTAAAAAGAGTTAATGCACAATGTAGCCCCTGAACTATCACTTTTTCCTATTCAAGCCCTTTAACAATTTATTTTCCTATCTAGGTTCCTTAAATATTTTAGTTTTCCTAATCCAGCGCAGCCGTCAATTTTTCTGTCAATATGACGTTAATACAAATCAAAAGGACAAAATTGCCCTAATAAATTTTGAAGAGAAAAAAATACCAAAGATAGAAAAACCCCACGTTTAACCTAACACGACCCCGCCGTTACTCTTTTCCTACGCAAATAGAGAACTCTCGATCCCTGCGCTCAACGCTTCGTCTTCTTGGCTGAATTTCCATTGACGGCGCCGGTTGAATTTTCATCTCTGACATTGGACTTCGGAACGTGGTGGTCTTCCCTAGCTCCTCTCTCTGGTTCGTCCTATTTTTATTTGTTTCTTCCGTTACCCATGGATCATGCCTTCCAATCTTTGTGTTGCTCTCTGTACACCTTGGTCTTTTGTTTTCTCTGTGAGTTGTCTCCATGTGAATAGTTTATTATTATTGTTATATAAGGCTTGATCAAATTAATAATTTAATATTAATAATTGCAGGTTTCTTGGATAGAGATTATGGGGATAACGCTTGTGTACCATGTTAGGGGGAAGTTTGTCCGGTCTGGGCAGCATGTAGTGTATGATGGAGAAGACATGATTTTCATTGAAGGGATAGACCCTGATGAGCTGAACTCAATGGATCTGGAGCATTATATTATGAAGACAATTATCGGTGGCTTTCAGCTGTTCTATGAAGGTCACGGGGAAAGGGAAGTGCCTGGATTTAAATTGCTATCAAGTGATGATAGTATAAGAGACATGTTAGATCTATACAAAGATCGTGAAGTGTATGATTTGTATGTGAAGCATGATATGTCTTCTTCCGAAACTTTGGGTGGAGTAGAAGATGAAGGAGCTGTAGTAGTAACTGAAGAAGCTCCTACAAGCTTGGGTGATCCAGTTTCAAGTGGAAAGCAACAAGATTTGATAGAAACAAGTGAAGAAATAGATTTGGCAGATTTTAGTGATGAAGATTTGGGTGAACAAGGTCAGTTTTTAAGTATCGGCTAGGATAATTATTGAGTGTGATTTATATTGTGCCTCTTGTGGCTGTTTACAAGAAATAATCAAGTGTGTTCTAATCTTGAATACAATTAACCTACAAAATGCAGATAAACCACGAGCTTCCGAGG